TTTTATGCAATGTTAAAGGGACTTATCTAAGAAAAAGATAAAAAATATGAACAGTAAAATGACAACAAACTCACAACTATCAACAAATGAACCTAAAAGAAAAGAAAAACAGTGAAAACAAAAACTAAACAAACAACCAGAACAGGAACAGAATCAGAGAAATGAACATGATATGGAGAGATTTCAGTGGGGAGGAGGGAGGAGGGCATGGAGGAAAAGGTACAGGGAATAAGAAGCCTAATTGGTAGGCATAGCATAGACAGGGAGAGGTCAAAACTGGTATAGGAAAGAGACAACTCAAAGAACTTATATGTACAACCCATGGACATAAACTAATGGTGGGGGGGAATGCTGGAGGGTTGCGGGGGGTGCAGGCTGGAGCGGGGAGAAAGGGGGAGAAATTGGGAAAACTGTAATAGCATAATCAATAAAATATACTTAAAAAAGAAAAAAGTTAAAAAAAAAAACATTTACACACACACACACACACACACACACACACACACACACACATGCACCCCAACCACAAGTATAACCAAGGGCAGTCTAACCACAGACACCGAAAGTTTCCAAGTTTAAGGAAGCGTTTGGGAAACAATTAAGCTGGGGAAAATCTAGCAGGTGCTGGCAGAATAATGCAATTTCCTAGGGCAGCAGATGTACAAGTGAAACAGTATCCAGTAACAGTCCATCAGATGGTAATTATAGCTGGACTGAGTAAGAACAGCCAGGATGAAAAGGGGCAATTCAAAGGGTAACTGAATGCCAGTGAGTGACATCTTCCTGAGAGATCACATACCAGAAAAAAGCAGGCCAGCACTTAGCTCCAAGAAGTGGGGTGGGTAAATAAACCATCATTTTTCTTTGTAGAAAAGGATAAAGGGAAAATAGAGACCTCAAAGAATTCATTAGTGGAGATTTAAACAGACCATCTCTAATAAACAACCATAAAAAAAAGAACAACAGGCACTGATTGCTCTGAAAGTATGATTCCTAAAATGATTCTGTCATCTGAAAGATGAGAAATTAATTTGGTCCAAAAAATATTTTTGAGAAAAGAGAGGTGAGGGGAGTTCACACTATAATTTTATGAGCACTGAAAACCAAAATAAAGAACTAAAGTGATGGAAGTGGATGATTGAAAGCATCTATTGATACTGAAATAAGGACAGGAGCTGTTTAAGTTCAAAGAAGATTTTCTGGTGTTTAATACCATAAAAGTCACTTTAAATCCCAGTGTTGGAAAGGGAACAGTGCCTCAGACCAAACTCATTACCTCTCAAAAGATCTGTAGAATGGGTCTAACCCCAGCGTGGGTATTCCTCCTGAGTCTGGCTCTTGCAACCGTGGGCCAGGGTAGTCCTCTCCCACCCCTGGTTTAACTAACTGAGCAGACCTGTGTTAATACTGACACTAGAATGCAAACTCTTTGAGAGCAGGGACTGTGTCACAGTCATCTCTGAAACTCTGCAGCAGGGGCAGAAAGGAAAGAAAACATGCTTATACACAGAACCACCCCAAAGTAAATATGGGTCAACTTGTAGTCTTTAATTAACATGGCCTTTCAATTCATTCAGCCAGATTTTGAGTGTTTCCCTGGACCATAGTTCTCATGCAAGTGTGCAATGTTGATTTATTTAATAAAAAGATTCCCAATGGTATAATTCTCAGAATATAAATGCATAGGCCAAGAAAACCCATTAAAGCTAAGAAATGACTCTTCCAGTTCCATCCCAAATGGTTATAGTCTTAGAAAAAAAGCCCTCTCTCTTGTCTGTGCATCCATACTGATTGACCATAGAGGTATTATGATGAATCCTTGGGGACTACCTCTGTAATGTGTGGTAAAAATCATTTACATGTTTTCCAGCTCTTTTCTTATGACCTGATATGTGGCAAGCTCTCAATTAATAGAAACAATAGGGAATATATTGCGGCAGAAACACCTGTCATCCAAACCAGGCAGAAACTGCCAGGGCTTTGGTGTGGGGAGGGAGTATATTTCTTTGCCATGCGGTAATGAATTTCAATCACTGCTCCTTGTGCCAGATTCAAATTAGCAACCCACCGAGATGAAATGCTTTCTATCCCATTACTCATGTCTGGAGTGATCTGTTTCCTTGAAGACTGGCTTCTTAGGTGAAAGTGAGGGAACAAATGGTCACTCTGAGGCAGTGTAAGTTGGATAAAAGGTATGAAAGATCAGTACCCAGTGAGAGAAATATGCAGACATGGAGAGGGAGCTAAGGGGCCATATAAAACTCCATGTACTGGGGAAGGGGAATATAAACTTCAAGGGGGGAAAAACAGAATTCATTTGGTAATGACAATTGATAAACCTCACTTAGTTCAATGGCTGCAACATTATTTACTCTGCTTAAAAAAAAAGGCAGTGCAGTTAGGACTATATAGAAATTCCTCCTAAAAATTTCTATTTGGCTCATTTCATCTGAGATAATCAGCCTAAAATGTGAAATCTACCTAAAATGTTAAAAATAAAATGTTTAAATAATATAACACAGTATTTTAACTTGTGAACATCCAGGCCTGTCACATGTGGTTATGTTCCTGATACTCCTTTGGTCAAACTTTCAAGATTTCTGAATTTTTTCCTAAATCTAAATCTTTACTAAAACCTTCTCAAGAATAAATACAAGTAACAGTAAAGATGCTTCTTAAAAAGTCAGAATTCACCAATACAATGAACAACACAGCACAGTGTAACAAGTACCAACCATTAGCTCAACCCAGCTGGTAAGTGGTTGTCTTTCTGGACCAGGATTTAAAGAATCTATCCTCTGCTATGTTTTTGAAGTTGGGGTTCTAGGGACACAGAACACTGACGTGACCACAGAACAGGTTTTTAAAATGTGAGCAATGATGTCAATTCATACCAGCCTCTGGCTATCTTCCCACCTGAAGCTCCAGCTCACCTCAAAGTCATCAGACTCTGGAGGTTTGGGGATGGAAGTGAGAAGAAGAGGTGCCTGGTATTTGGAAAAACAGTGCTCTTGATATCTGCACATCAGCTCTGTACTCCTGCCTTCCATCCCGCCTCCACCCCGCTACTCATGCCACCAGAGGACTGGCTGAAGGCACTGGAGCCATGGGCTGCCACTGATGTGCCCTGACCCAGTCATATGGTCTATCCATACTTGAAGGTGTCTCAGCAGTGGCTGCAAAAGGGCAGCATCTCTCATCCTCACCCTTATATGACCTCACCCTTATATGACACAGAAGCTGCACCCATGTACTTTGTACCTTCAGCTCTTTCTTCTATAGCCCCTTCATGACTTGCTAAAGCTGTGTTTCACCAACAGATACACATGAAGCCACCCTGCCTGACCCCAAAGTGCTGTTTGCATCAAACATGTGGGTCTTAGCTCCCATTCTAAAGGGGTTGTTTCCCACGATCTCCACACACAAATAGATCACCTGGTATCCATCCCAAAGGTTTTCTGGATGAGGTTGGCACCCTTATCTCTAGAGTGGACAGAGTATGAACTTCAGTGCTGTAGGCCTGTGACCTGAGAATGCACCTTTGATCCTTGATGAAATGATATGCATCTGGGTATTGCTTTAAAATGATAAAGGAGGAAGGGGAAGTGGGTGGGGGTACAGAAGATCCAAAACTAACCAAGAGTTGCAAATTGTTCAGCTAAATGTTGAATATGTATGTGGGAGTAGGTGCCCATCTATAAACTGTCACTGGCCTGGGAAGATGTAAGTATCTGTTAAACCTAGTAACAAAATAATCAGGCTTGAATTTTGTCTGTTTTTTAATCTCATTTTCTAAAGACTTCACTTTTTCCAAACCTATCAGTCTTAGTGCCCCTCAGCACAGACAGAACGAAAAGCCCTATGTTTGTATACGCTTTACATTTCCTACACTCAAGAGTTAGAAGAGGGGGAAGAATTGCTATTTATTTTTAGTCTCTACTTAATTATAAATTTAGAGCTTGTCAGAAAATAAATATAAATTTATACTTTATTTTACAAATATATATTTATATATATATAACATATATGTATGTTTACATATATATATATAAATGTTAGACTGAAACCTGGCTTGGTTACAGTATGCAGCTGCCTCTCAGTGGGTCTTGGTGGAGCACTGCCCCCCAGCAGGGAACCCATATGTAAAGTGAGGGCAGTGAGATGGTACACTTCCTGCAGTGCTGAAGTTGTTACAAGTTGTTTATTTTAAACCATCTAGCTCTGATGAATAGCTTCTTGGCTAAACATTTGGAGAGTTCAAACTTTCCACTTTCCTTTTCTCTCTCTCGAATGGACAACTGTCAGCCCACTGAGGAAATTTTTACTGTAATTAAGTGAAAATGTATTATTCAAAACTCTATGAGCCTACACATAAGTCAACTTGACAAAATCATGTACATGTCTGTGTGTACATATACATGTACAGTTCCATTTGAAGCGAAATTAGGTATTATTTCTGTCCTTTTCTTGTTTTGGTAGTAAGAGCATTCAGGGGCTGTTCATTTTAAGGTCAAACCTGTGAACTGCCCCAGAGCAGTTAATATGTTTGTTACTCATCCTGACTCCCAGAAGAGGCTTGGGACTCAGACCCAAATATCTTAAATGCAGCCAGCTCAATTTTCTCTGAAAGCTTTGTCCAAATTGTGAATGGCCACTTTAGCCTTGAAAGCAAAACGTGATAGAATGGCGGGATCTGCTTTTGAGCAAGGGGAAAGAAAACAGAAATATGCTAGAAGGTTGACCCCAGGCCTCTTGTCTTGAGACACAGCAGAGCATGTGAGTGTCCCCGTGGGGTCTGTCACTCCAGGGACTGTGAGGATCCTGTTTTAGGCTTATGGTGGAATAACCACCTGAGGGCGAAGGCACCCCTGTAAGGGCATGAGTGCCAGGCTCCCTGTAAATAAGCAGCCTGCTCCCAAGAAGACAGTGCTGCTACCCCATCTGCCACGCCTGCCCGAGCTGGCACTGCGCCTCCTGCCTGCTGCTGCCCAGCTACTCACCAGCTCCTTGGAGACCGCCTTTGATGGAGCATTGATGCCAAGCTTTTCCAGAGGATAGACAATCTGTCGTCGTGGTCGCACGGGAACCAAGTAATGAAGGGCGGATGTCAGGGAATGGGCGTAGGAGCTCTGGAACTGCAAGACAACAATCTCTATTTTAGGGGAGAAAATGTCAGAGCATCACAGCACAGATGCCTGCATGTGGCTTTACAAATACAAAATTCTGAACTCAGCCAAATCATAGAAGGGAAAAAAAAACAGCAAATAAACAAGCATACTCTCCAAGCAGAGGAATGAATTGTAGATAATGCCTGACACTAATGAAGATAATTATGAGAGTAATTACATTACTATCTCTGTGGGAATGACAGATAAACAAGTGGTTTGGTTTATGGGATTTTTCAGTACAAGTATTTTCCCCAGGAGGATATTCTTCTCCACAGTGAACGAGAATCAGCTTTATCTGACCCCATTAAGCTGTGTTATCTGCCTCCTGTTAACCTTTGCGTGTTTGGCATTAGCTGTTTTAAGAAGGTGAATATATAAAAATGTCATCAGAGGGCAACTGAATGCAGATGTGAAAAATCCTGTTTGTGAAAGCACAGCTATTTTAACTGGTCCTCTGTTGAGAAAATAAGTGTTTTGAAATAAAGTGATGAAAATAGAAAGTGGGATAGCTTGGGGAATTAGATCATACCATTTTGACTTAAATTAATACTAAATTATAATTTGAATTTATGCTTACTGAAATGAACTGATAAATGTTTTAGAAGAATGTTTTAAATAGTAATTTTACTCAATTTTTAAAACTTAGAAAAAACTGAACATGGTGATCTTTATTTCTTTCACATTTATGAATTCTTAGGAGTTTTTGGAGAAATTAACTCAGTATTTTGACTATATAAATCTCACAAGTTAAACTGTGAAACCAACATTTTAAAAGATATATTAATTGTATTTAAGCTGGAAAGCAAAGAAAGTAAAACTGAACTATAAGTGTAGTTTAATAAATAAGATGATTTACATATCACTTACTATTCTAAAAATAGCCCCCAGGCATTCCTAAGAGCTTCTAAAAGGAATTTTTAACATCTATTACCATTAAAATTCATACCCTAATTTTACCCACTGACAAACAGAACTAGTCAGAGCTGTTTCTATGCCTGGAAGATCTATCAATACACGTGCTGGCAGGAGGCTGTAGAGAAAACCAAATGAGAGCCAAAAGCTCATTTTTACTACTACCAACTAAGGATTTCTCAAATTCTTACCTAAATTATTTGGTACTGCTTCTTACACTTGTTTAAATCTGTTCTCAAATGTGTTTCTATATCCTATAAGAAATAGTATATAACATATTCCAAGTCTATACTATTGAGGTAAACATATGAACACTCAATAAAATGTCTAAGGTACTATTGTTATTTTTATTATGGATACAAAAGGATTTACCAGCTTGGCGTGTGCATACAATATCATGAATAAAAACTAAGAATTTAATATCACAACCTGAAAGTGACCAAATTGGCAACTGGCCAAAATGCAAACTAAAAAGAAATTGCACAGGACTGGGATTGTCCAGCAAAACTGCTATCTTCCCATCTCATTAAGTTCAAATCTAGGTATTCAAATTGATATAGTGCTGCATTGTGACAAAAAAGAAAAATTGGCACTAAAACATATACCATATCTCAATAATAATCCTTTCCATGTATTTCTTCTTTCTTTTTTTTACATTCCCTTTGTATTTCTCCAAAGGCTTTTGTTTAAAAAAACAAAAGGTACATGGTTACTGTTATGTAAATGTAGTAATACATTTTAGAATGCTTTTTTAAAATACATTTTATTGATTAGCTATTAGTTGTCCCATTTTCCCCCTTCACTCCCCTCTACCCTGCACACCCCCTCCCATCCACATTCCCCCCTTTAGTTCATGTCTGTGTGTCATAAGATCTTTAGCTTCTACATTTCCCATACTATTCTTGCCCTTCCCCTATTTTCTACCTACCATCTATGCTACTTATTCTCTGTACCTTTTCCTCCTCTCTCCCCCTCCTACTCCCCTGTTGCTAACCCTCCATGTGAATCCCATTTCTGTGGTTCTGTTCCTGTTCTGTTTGTTTGCTTAGTTTTATTTTGTTTTAGGTGTGGTTGTTAATAACTGTGAGTTTGCTGTCTTTTTACTGTTCATATTGTTTATCTTCTTTTTCTTAGATTAAGTTCCTTTAACATTTCCCATAATAAGGGCTTGGTGATGATGAACCCCTTTAACTTGACTTTATCTGAGAAGCACTTTATCTGCCCTTCCATTCTAAATGAAGACTTTGCTGGATACAGCAATCTGGGATGTAGATCCTTGCCTTTCCTGACTTGGAATACTTCTCTTCAGCCCCTTCTTGCCTGCAAGGTCTCTTTTGAGAAATCAAAAGAGACAGCTGACAGTCTGATGCGAACTACTTTGCAGGCGACTGTCCCCTTATATCTTGCTGCTTCTAGGATTCTCTCCTTCATTTTAATCTTGGCTAATGAAATTAGGATGTGCCTTGGTATGTTCCTCCTTGGATCCAACTTCTTTGGGACTCTCTGAGCTTCCTGGACTTCCTGGAAGTCTATTTCTTTTGCCAGATTGGGGAAGTTCTCCTTTATTATTTGTTCAAATAACTTTCCCACTTGTTGCTCTTCCTCTTCTCCTGCTGGTACCCCTATAATTCAGATGTTGGAATGTTTCAAGATGTCCTGGAGGTTCCTAAACCTCTCCTCAATTTTTTGAATTCTTGTTTCTTCATTTTTTTGTGTTCGGTTGTTTTGTTTTTTTCTTCCTTCTGGTCCACTCCATTGATTTTAGACAGTTTTCTTTATATCACTATTGGTTCCCTGTGCATTTTTCTTCATTTCACTTCGTGTAGCCTTCATTTTTTCATCTAATTTGCAACCAAAATCAACCAATTCTGTGAGCATCCTGATCACCAGCGCTTTGAACTGTGCATCTGACAGGTTGGCTATCTCTTGGTTGCTTAAAAATATTGGCTCTGGGGCTTTGATTTGTTCTCCCATTTGAGCCATTTTGGGGTGGGGGGCGGTGGGTCTGGTCATGCCTGTTATGTAGTGAGGGGTGGAGCCTTAGGTGCTCACCTGGGCTTGGCAACCCAGGCTGGGTTGTAACTTTGTATGTGGGGGCGGGGTCCCAGTGGGAACAATGGTGGTTGTTCCACTCTCTGTCAGATTTCAGTCCCCTCTTTCACTTCCCACAAGCAAATTGGGCCCTTTTGGTGCTGGTTCCCAGATGGGTAGGCTTGTGTACATTCTAGGACTCTGTGGGTCTCTCCAACAAACTCTCCTGGGAGTCTCTCCCTGCACCTCAACCTCCACAAGTGTTTTCAATCAGTGCTTTTAGGTTTTATTTCCCAGCACTGGGGCCCTGGGTTGCATGGTCTGTCTCGCTGCCCGTTTTCACCTGTTTTATCTGCGCACGAATGTGTGACTGTGGACAGCCAACTGCTTTGCGTGACTCACTGGGTCTGCTTGTTGCCTCTATGCACCTGCGCCTGGGGTCAGCTAGCCGCTGCCTGCACCCTGTGCACCTGGGACCACCAGCCACCACTTTTTGCAGCCAAGACGCCTCTCTGCCAGCTGCCGACTCCACCCCTCTTATTGGTCTGGATGAATGGTTGTCGGGACTTCTGTACAGTTCAATTTTGTTTGTTCTGGCTGTTTTTTTTGTTTCTAAATTTTTGTTGTCCTTAATTTTGGTTGTGTGAGGAGGCACAGTGTGTCCACCTACACCTTCATCTTGGCCAGAAGTCCACTAGAATATTTTTTAAGTTTAATAAATAAGATCACTTTAAAAATCTACTTAGCTCACTTGTAGTAAATAAGAAGAAATGTGACAACATCAGAGATTCTAGACAGAGCATGAGAAAGCTTTCAGTCATGAATAGGATCTGATAGGACAGTTTCTACCTAGTCTAGGTGTTGAATCTCATCACTCCTCGAGTGTACATCAGGCTGAGGACCAATGCTGTCATCTAAGCTTGCAGGAAACAACACCTTGGGAATCCAGCTTAAAGAGGCCCTTGCTCGCCTGTGGAACAACCAGGACACTGTATGTGAGTGTGTACATGTGTGTGTGCACATATACAGGGTGGGGCAAAAGTAGGTTTATAGTTGTTTGTATGGAAAATAACACAATTTAATACATAATAATACAAGGATAAACTCTGTGTTTTGTGTACTCACAACTGTAAACCTACCTTTTCCCCAAGCTGCATGTGTGGCTCTTCTAAGCACTGGGCTTCAGCTTTGAGCAGACAGACAAACACTTGCCATCATGGAAAGAGATAAAATTTTAGCTAGTGAAAAGTACTATGAAGAGGACTAATGCAGGATAAATGAAGAGCTTACTATCTGTGCTTGCACACATATGTAATGTACACATATCACATATGCGTTCATTATGACAGCATTATCTACAAAAGTATAACAAATATTTAACAGTTATGTAGGTATTTACTACATAAAGGTTAAATAGATATTATAAATCTCCACTTTTTATCCATCACTTTTATGTGGGTGATTATAGTGCTTATTTGGAATGCTGTGATAGCATATCAATCTTATAGGATTGAACTGATTTATCTTATGGGTTCACTACTAAAATTTCTTTGCTTGACGAACATGAGAGAATCATTTTGGCTTTTCACTAATCTACCAGAAGAAATAATTTGATTTTCATGTCCCTTGGAGCATTTTTGTATGGTTTTTAGTCTCTGTTTTGTCAATATGGAGAAGCCAAGAAATTGTTCTACTAATTATATTGGTTGTGACTGTTTTAGATATTCAAACTCTGGGCTTTCACTACGGTGCAAGGGCCAAACTCACTATGGTCACTTGAAATTCAGAGCCACACTATAATTAAAGTCCATCAAGCAAGGAAGGCATACAATATGGCACACAACACAAATGACACAGTTAACATCTGCTGGAAAAGTTAATTACAACATTTTTTTTACCTTGCCTTCCCTGGAAGCTGGGTAAACAGGGTAGTAGAGACAGGACTTAAAACCTAAACGGAGTATCTCCTTCAGAAAAAACTTGGTATAGTGCCGAAAAATGGGGTTCAAGGCAAAGTGATACAGGTGTCCGTGTTCTTCGTGCTGGTGGTGACTGAAGTAGATAAAATCTTCAATATTGTAATGGGATCGTATGTACTCTATATCCTAAAAAAGAGGTGAGGGAAGGATATTTAAGAATTTTTAAACAAATGGCACACACTTTGTGATAAAAACTTTTTAAAAACTACTTTAGATATTGTATAACAGTAAGAAATGAGTTTTTTTCTCTCCTGTGATTTAGTAACTCATCTTCAATGTTAATTTTTTAAGAATTAAAAATTTTGTTTTTAAAAGTCATTTGTTCTGATGGCTTGTCTCTGGAGGATAGCTACAGAGCTTTGGAATTTGCTCCTTACAGAGAGCCGTGCATCTCTGCTAGGGACCAGGCAGCAGGACAGCAGCTCTTCGCCTCCAGTGGGCAAGGGGAGCATGAGCTAGTCAGCACGACTGACCAAGTATATGCAAGTTTCAGGAGCAGGACAAACACCAGTGTTCTCTGGATTCATTACTATTCTCAATTCACATATTAATGTGGAAATGAGCCATCCCACAAGTCACACACTTTGGCTGGCACACATGGCTGGGTTGGCTTACAATAAAAGTGTGAGGCTGGGCCTGATCCATAGGCATTCCTTAAACTTTTTATCTCTGTGAGGTATGGTCATGCATTGCTTAACTGGGATACATTCTGAGAAATGTGTCATTAGGTGGTATTATCATTGTGCGAACATCATAAAGCACAGTTACACAAACACAGATGGTATAGCCTACTATACACATAGACTATATGCTATAGCCTACTGCTCCCAGGCTCCAAACCTATACAGCCTGTTACTATACAAAACATAATGAGACTAATCAAGCATAAGAGAAAGTGATGCTCTCAAGACACTCAGTAAACCTGAGATGTACAGAGCTGCTGCCAGTGTAACATGGCATACTGCTGTAGAGCGAACTTTATTTTTTATAAGAAAGAGTACATTCTAAAATAATGATAAAAAATATAGTAAACACATAAGCCAGTAACAGTCATTTATTATCATTATCAAGTATTATGTGCTGTACATAATTGTGCTATACTTTTATATGACTGGCAGATTTGTCATATAAATCTGGACCAGCACCTCCACAAACACGTGAATGTGTAATGCATTGGGCTATAAAGTAAAACATCAGCTATAATGGTGATAGGACTTTTTCAGCTCCATTATAACCTTATGGAACTACAGTCCTCTATGTGGTTAGTTATGTACCAAATGTTGTTATGTGGTGCATGACTGTATAATAATTTAAATGACTGGTGAGTGTTTACTTGTAAAAAGAAATACTGGATACTATGCCCCTGCTTCTTTGGGTCTGGTTCTGATCACTAGCCTCTATTCCCTACACTGCAGGGGAGGGAAGCAGGGACTCATCCATGTGAACTGTGCACTGGCTCATTCTGTCCTGTTTCACTTCTCAGCAGTGGATACTGTTGCTGGTGGGGGCAAACACCAGAGTGAGCATGACTCTGTCACGACAGGGGCAGTAAAAACACTTGATGTGCAGGAAAAATCTGACCATATGCAAACTGAAAAGCACCTACTTATACTTCTTTTGATTTTTGACAGTAAAATTGTCTTAACACACTTTCAAGAAGAAGAATTAAAAAATGCAAAGAACTTGGTTTACGCTGTGATTGGCAAGGCTGGCACTAGAAAATTCAGGAAAACTGGGAAGCCTGTGCCTAAGCCTCTCAATATTCCTTGTTTTTCCAGCATCTGCCACAAAGCTTAGCAGAAACAGAGTTTAGGGTAACAAAGCCAGTGGTGGTACCAAAAGGCAGTTCTGGCACTGTCTGATCTTTCTGTCTGCATTGACCCTATAACTGCCTGTATACCTTAAGACTTTTATTTAATTACCAAGAAGCATTCCTCATTATAAAATAAAATGAATAATAAGTACAGGGCTGAAAAATCAGTGAAAAACAAAAAGTGAAAACAAAGAGCCAACAGAGATTATTAGCTCAAAACAGCAGATGGGCCATGTACATCTAATTTTCTTCTCATCCCAAATCCCTTAAAATTAAACAAAAATTAATTTTAAAATAATGTGGGAGAGTGATGAGGGGACAAATGAGTAAGGCAGTTTTACCTCAGGAGAAAACATACCAATAGGTATGTGGTCTCTACCAATAGTTTAATCTTCCTACCTTGACCCCTGCCTGTGGCCTGCCAGTACTACCTTCGAGCACCGCAAGGGGAAGCCAGATGACTGATGCCTCTTGATTAGACAGAGAGGGATGGGCAGTCCTCCCAGTGATTGGAGAGATGAATGGAGAAGCAGATATGCTCCACTGTCAAGGGTATCATGACAGACAGCCATACTGGTAATCTAATATGTCACTCAAGACATGGACAGGCTTTTGAGGAAAACTGACAAATTCAAAAGACCACGACAGCAAAACATACAACTCCAGAGTAAACAGAGGATATTCAGGGAACAGAAGAGAACTAAAAAAATTATACTCAGTGTCCTCAGAGATACCAAAGAAGATCGAGTATGTAACATAACAAAATGCTACAAAAAAGTAACAAGAAGGAAACAACAAAGAGACTTGGAAGTTAAATATACAAACCCTGAAATTAAAATTCCAATAGGAGCCCTGGATGATTCAATAGACATAATTAAAGACTGAATTAGGGATCCAGAAGACAAAATTAAAGAAATCTACAAAAAAGCACAAGAGATTAACAAATATGAGAAGGTTAAAAGATAGTAAAGGATCAATTTAAAAGGTCTAATATCCATCTAAAAAGGAATTCAAGGAGAGGAGAATAGAGAAAACAAAAGGGAAGATACAATAAAATCACAGAAGAAAGATCTTCCCAAATTCAAAAGAGGCATATGATACTTCTTGGTAAAATTTCAGAATCTCAGGTATTAAAAAAACATAGAAGGAAACATACCAAAGAGAGAGAGAGAACACAAGGAAGCATACATTTATTTATATCAGTTTATATTTTATCAGTGACCCTGAACACTGGACAAGGAGAGTAAAAACATGAACATTCTGATGAGAAATAAGTTGAATAAGAATTGTATACACAACTGAATAAGTATTCAAGTATGAGAACAAAATGAAAACTTCTTATTTATGTATGGACTCTGAGACACTACTACCTACCATCCTCTCTAAAAGAATTACTCAAAGACATTGAATCAAAGAGAAATGAATCTAAGAACAAGGAAAATTTGAATACATTAAAGGAGCAAAGCCATATGAACATCTCAACAAATGCCAAAAACCCATCTAATAAAATTCAATACTCATTCATGATAAAAAAAAACTTTTAGTAAACTAGAAATAGGAGAGAACTGCCTTAACTTGATAAATAATACCTCCCAGTACCTACAGAAAATATTTTACTAAATGGGGCAAAGCAGAATCATTACTATTAAAAATAAAAAAAAAACCCACAAAGTACCCATTATAAACACTACTATTCAGTGTTGTTCTAAACACAAATAAAATCGGGGAAAAAAGGTATAAATATGTTTAAAAGAATGTGTGGCAGAGTCTATGTTTCAAAATGGCCATGACCATATCTCTCATCCCACATGATCTTCTACAGAAAGAAGTTGTCACACCAGGAGCTGAAGTCCATTTCCCCATCCCTGGAATCTGAGCATGCCCTGTGACAGCTTTGACCAGTATAATATGGTAGAAGTTATGTTGGGCTAGAAAAGGGTCAATTGAAAAACTCCTGGAGCTAATGAGAGACTTTAAAAAGCTGATTGGACACAAGAATACAAAAATTAGTAGTTTTCCCACATACCAAAATAAACACTTTGAAAGTACAATGAAAAAGGTATCTATTCACAATACCCAGGAAAATATAAAACATGCAGAGATATGTATACATGTATAAAACATGTAGAGATTTATGTACTGGAGAAGGTCTCAGCAGGAAACACATGCTATGTTCAAATTAGCATAATTTAAGTTTAACAAAAGGACTATTTACAAGGAGGGGGCAGGATGTAGAGAAACCATAGATAGAGTAGAAGCAACTACATGTTATTACCACTCTGGGTTGGTGGGGGGCAGGGCAGTAGCATAAGAGGTGCTGGTTTCTGGAATCCAATAAAAGAGTCATGGAAAAGAGGCTGCCTGGAAAAGATCAGGGAATTCAGTGGAGAGACCAGCCCCAGGCAACCCAATCTTACTCTCCTCCTTTTGTCTCATCAGCGTTCCCCATTGGTCAAACGTAACTGGAAGACAAAGGGCAAAGGCACCCCTGATGCTGCCCATCAGGTTAGATTTCCTGGGATGGAACAAGATGGAGAAAGAAGGAGACTGAACCTCCAGGGGCAAAGTATTTGATACATACAACCTGTATGAACAAAGCCACAAAACTTTTCTGAAGGATTCAAGAATTCAACCACCACCACAACAAAAACAGGAAGCTGTATTCCTAGAAGGGAAGTCTCAATATTTCAATTGTCAATTCTTCCTAAATTGTTCTATAAAACCTAAATAGATACAAATAAATTCATAACAAGTATTATAAGGCTTGTCTGGAAGAGAAAAATGACAAAATAAAATCATAAAAATTTAGGAAAAAAGACAAATGAGAGAAGACTCCCCTACTAGATAGCAAAGTACATGATAATGCAATAGATACCAGCAAATAAATCCATGGGACAGAATAGAGTAAAAATAGACACAGGCACATAGAAACTTAATAATGTAAAGGTAGCATTTTAAATCAGTAGGAAAAAAATGGATGACTCTGTAATAAATACTTTGGGATAATTGTGCACTGGGAAAAAATAAAATCAGATGTCCACCTGACAAAACACACACAACACACACACAAGATGCAAGGAAAAATTTAATTAAGTGCAAGGAAAAATATTGGAAGAGATAAATGACTAACTATCAGTAGTAGTAATCCTTTGGGGGAAAATGGGATTTTTTTTTTGTGGTGGAAGGTTATTTAAATTTATAGAATGTGAATGTTTCATGTATTCTTTATGATACTTTAAACATTTTTGAACTAAAATAATGAATATTTAAAAGGCTGCTAAGTGGGATGCAGCATATCATGATTTATATACTTCAGAAAAAGAAGGCATTCACATTAAAGTGAAAATGAAACTTCAAAAGAGGTATTGTATGTTAATTCATGAAATAAAAAGGCACAATAAAGGAAATTAATATCCATTTCACAATTTACCATTTCATTTCTGATCACTGCAATGCCAACAATTTGTTCTGCCACATCAGCTACAAAGGCCTGCAGTGGTGTTCCATCCTGAAAAGATGAATATATTTTTTAAGATCCTTGAAAATATTGCCATTAGTGTTTCTGTGAGCAGTCAACAATAGGTTTGAACCATGATCCCATAATGGTCAGACCATCTACCACTTACCTGTGGGCCAGGTAGTAAATTAAATGCCCTCCCAGTGTTCACTTAATCTTCACTCCAACCCTGTAAGTATTATCATTATATCTCTATCTCATGTATGAGAAAATAGGCTTGAAAGATTGAGTCACTTGTCAAGATCTATAGCTACTAAGGAATGAACCTATGATTCAAATTGCATTCCCTTGACTCAGAATCTTTTGTTAGCTCTACATCAGTGGTTCTCAGATATTGTGATCTCAGGACCCCTATGCCCTGAGGACTCCAGAGAACTTTGGTTTATGTGTATCTATCACTTTTTCCTGTATTAGTAATTAAAACTGAAAAAATTTTGAATTTTTAAATTTTTGTTTAACTTATTAATTGAAATGATTTTTTTAATTTGACAAAGATATTTAGAGAAGAGTAGCATATTTTTGCAAATCTCTAACATTTGGCTTAATAGAAGACAGCTGGATTCTCATAAGTGCTTCTATATTCAATCTGTTGCAATATGTTATTTTGGTTGAAATATATGAAAAAACTATCTTCACAAACATACATAATTGGAAAAGGGAGAAGTATTTAAATAACCTTTTCAGATAATTATGGACATTCTTCTTTGATGCTCCACCAAAACTTAACAAGTGGTAGTGTTTTAAAGATTAAAATTTTTAAATGTTGAAACTGAAACCATATCAATGAACTTTGTATACACTACTACATTAAAATTCATTGGTCTGTTTTGCACTTTGAATGAATCTTCTTCCTATGCAAGATTTTGTAACATCATATATTGTTTATCTATAAAATTCTGGTTCACCAAGCTTATGTAAATTTTCCAAATGTTGACTATTTCATTACAAAATATCAAAATATCGCACTTGGTAATATCACCACCAGACTTACCAGAAAAAGTCTGGTAACTACTGGGAAACTGTGAAGATCACAGCAGCAGATACTGATTTTCCAAAATTCTAATTTTTTGAAAGGTTGGATTTTTTTCATAGGGGACAAGTGTTGTCAGTTGTTATCTTGCAGTGACAGGCTCACCTTTTTTAAAGAAAATGCCTGACAACTGCCTGAGATTGAATAACCATATTTTGTATGCCAGCTATTCTTTCAAGTAAAAATGGTATTCTGTGAAAATGCTGGCTGGGTCAACAAACAACTCAAACAATTGCAGAAATGTTTTTTCCTGAAAAAAAAAACCCAACATGCTTCAGTCTGCATCAGAAGAGCTTTATGTGCCCTTTTCATTTTGCCACACAGAATACTAAAAGTACATGCACTCAAGGATTAAAACTCCATGATTTTACTGCTTCAAGTGAAACTGGTGCTCCATTTTCTTTTAAATTAAAATGTCTATTGAGAAATATGTAGACTCACAAGCAATTATAAGAAAAAATACGGAGAAATTCTTTTACACTTTGCCCAGTATCCCCTAATAGCAAAATTTTGTAAAACACTACTATAATATGACAAGCAGGGAACACACATTGGTGTGTGTATGTATTAAGTTCTATACAATTATATCCCTTGTGTAGATTCATGTATGCACCACCACAGTCCTTGGGGCCACCAGTGAGGAGAATAGCCTCAATTCCTTAAACCTCAGTTTCCTTCTTTTTCTTTTCTTGCTCCCATCTTACAATACCACACTGCTTCCCACCACACGATTCCCACTAAGGTCCAAGGAAACTTCAGGTTGAACCTACATGAATCATAATGGTCCCATAACATGAGGTAAAGAAAGACAATCTGATCATAGCAGGACTTACAGGATCTCTGCGAGCCTCATTGTATTGCTTTAGATCCTCCAATATGCTTTTATTGAGCATGAGAGTGCTGACGAGATTTTCAACACCAGAAGTATCTGATAAATTGGCTAATCTTATATTAATGGTCCTAGGTAAAGAGAAATTTATTTTTATATTAAAGTACCAAATATGTATTTCCCCCCAAATGGAGGCAGAATTGCAACAGATCATATTTATGTAAGATAATGGCAATAAAATATCTTTACATAACAATGGGGTTTGATTAATTATAAAAGTAACTCTTTCATTGTAGGAAACCTGGAAAAGAATAAGGTAAAAATCATCGATAATATCATTAACTAAATTGTTCTTCAAATTTTTAAAGTTTGTTAAGAAGTTAAGAAATTACATTAAACCTGAGCTGGCTTTATAGACCTTAATTCTTAATAATTTTATCTTTGATTTTGTATTTTTACGTGAAGCCAAGTAAGACATGGAATGGGCCCAGTCACTTGGAGCTTTGGCTCACATATGGTACCCACCTCCCACCATCATTCCATGATGCGTTTTCTCCCATCTGTTCCCTGCTCCTGGCACACTGGGTCCTATAGGGCCTCCCCACCCTGAGTCGTGACTGCTGCCACCTTCTGCTAAGGTAACAACTGGGTTGCCTGCATGGGGGAGGCTCACATTCAACCACCATGCTCTTCCCTCGGTAGAGTCCTGGACACAGGAATGGGAAGGATAAAGGGTTAGGATGTCCATGGAATCTCTACTCACAGCATGGTGATGACGATCCCCACCTGGGACAAGCAGTGCCACAGAATGTTCAGCTGACAACTAAGCATGGACATCTTGCCCACCCACCCCCACCCAGGTACTTTGTGAACACCAGTGAAGAATTTGCCAGCCACAGGGGATGTGTGTTGGAGTGGTGGTCCCATGGAAAGGGGAGATGACCTACCCATCTTAGGCTAGAGCCCCACATTTTTGTTTTGTAATGGGCCCACCATATTATTTAGCTGGTCTTGCACTGAACGTTATCAATCATTCAGTTATTATTACTAGTTTGGACAGTGCTATTCTTACTAATATTAATGAAGTGAAATGTTCTAACCTACTTTTAGCTGTAGTGAATATTTGTGCTTAAATTTTAGTGTATACTCCCACACTATGGATAAAGTAGCATATTTGCAAAGAACAATCTACATCTATAGTTAACTTATTAAAGATAAAAATTAATATTACCTTAGTGTTTATGAGCAATTTTTAAGTGAAGAAGAACAACTCAGTTCTGATATGGCCACCTTACACCAAAATCTACTTCAGATGGATTAAAGATGTAAATATGAAAAACAAGACCACAAAAGTACTAGGAAAATACCTGAGGGAACTGAAAACATATGTCCATATAAAACCTTGTTCATGACTGTACACAGAAGCATTATTTATAATAATAATCCAAAAGGCAGAAAGAACCCAAATGTCCATCAACTTCTAAATCAAAAAACAAAATGTGGTCTACTGAGATAATGGAATAGTATTCAGCAATAAAAAGAAATGAAGTACTGACACATGCCACAACATGGATGAACCTTGAAGAAATTTATGCTAAGTGAAAGAAACCATATACAAAGGCCACACATTATATAATTCCATTTATATGAATGTTTAGAATAGGCAAATTTATAGATAAAAAATAAATTAGCTGCTGCCAAGGCTGGGGGAACAGTGGGAGAAAAGAATAAAAATGGATGCCAGTCTGCAAAAGACCTGCAAATTGATTGGTTAGTTTGAAAAGATTCCCAGTCCTTTTTAAGCCCGAGATATAATCCAAGCTTAACAAAGGCAAGCTCTCTCTCTCTTACTCTGTCTCACCTGCTAATACATGCTTGCCCATGTGCTTGTGTATTCTTTCTCTGTGGCAGCCATGCTGGCCCAGCAGCCATATGGACTCCAAGAATGAGCTTGGATATAATAACAGCACAGCCAGGAATATATTAGCTAGATGTGGACAGAGGCAGAACTGGACTAAGCTTTGATATGGACTGAACCAATGGCACAGAACTTCTGGACCTTGGCCTTTCCTCTGGGTTTGATGAAGACAAGGCTGGACTTCCTTCACAGTAGAACTGAGTTGAATCTGGGAAAATTTTTTGTGTTTGCTCCAGCTTTGATAAATCTTAACACCATAACTCATCCTCCCATTTGTGGTCCCTGAAATGCTTTCCTTGTGACACTGCAAGGACCCTATTTCCACTGGCAACAGCAGTACCACCCTGTTGTACTGTGTCTCAATGATTCCACCTTTGCCCTGACAATTTATCCTCAACAAAGCAGATAGAGTGATGCTTACCAAACATTAAGTGAGACCACATGAGTCTTCAATGCAAATCCCAGTAACTCAGGTGTTCTTCACCTCTTTTATGCCAAGGACTCCTCTTTTTAATGCATAAAATAAAATATGTAGGATTATGAGTTTTATTAAATAACATAATTCTGTAGTGGTCTATTATGTTGTGTGGATGAGCATAAACCACAAGTAATATTTGTAGATACATGCAAATCCTGTAATGTGATAGGAAAACTGAAAGTGTCATTTCAATTAAAGAGAAGGCTACAGGTGCTACTAATCCTCTTGTGGTTTGTTGCCTACTTGAACAATGGAAGGAAATACTACATTTCAATTAAAGCTTCATGAAAATAAAGATAGCCCATGGTTAATAACCCCAGTTATGATTCCCATCTCACTCTGAGTAAAAGTCCTTTTGGGGGCTGAAAGCCCTTCCATGACCGAAGCCTTCTTCCCCACACCTTTTCTCTCTGGGATCTCTCTTGCTGACTTATCACCAAGTAGTTGGCTTCTTGCTCTCTGTTTTTCCTTAAACATTCCAAGCACTCTCTCTCATCAAGAGTTCTTCCTGGGAATTCTGCCTCCTCTATCACAAATATGCAAGCTTTGTTCCCTTATTAACAGCAAGTGTTTACTCAAACTTCACCTTCCCAATGAGGTCTTCCCTAGCTCTAGTCACCCTATTAAAAATTTGGAAACCCTGATACTTCCATTACTTGCTCTGTTTTCTCCACAGTACTTCCTACCTTCTATTTATTTTGTTCACTGTTTGTTTCCTTTCACTAGAAGAAGATGTTATGGAGATAAGAACTTTGATCTCTTCATTCACTGCTGCTGCACCCCCATGGCTAGAATAATGCCTGGCATGTAGTAAGTGCTCAGTAAATACTTGCTAAATGAGTAAATTATGCAGCTTGAATATAGATGGCCAGAGACTATTTCAGTAAGACTGTTGTGGGAACCAGGAGAGTGCATAAACATATGACATGTTTACATGTCTCTACTGCACTATCCTTTGCTTTCTGGGACATGGCCATCTTTTCCCCCTCGTAAGGCTTAAAGCTCAGACCACATCATAATCCATTCTGAAAGGCCAGCCCTTTTCTTAGCCCACAGTAGTGCTCAATAACTGTTTAAGGGGATATGGGTGCTGTATAGTGTCAGGTGTCACAAAAATGCAAACACTGTTTCACCAGTTTTTCCAAGGAAATCTACTGCCAGTTAGGGAATACAACCATTTTGCGTTATACTGTGAAACTCATCTCGGCTATATATATTTATCAAAGAAGAATACTTCACAATTTGCATTTGTTCCTAGACTTTCAGGGGAAGGAATGGGAAGTAACAATATGTTTGTGCCCTACTCTAAAGCTATATTGTTCCATATGGGAGCCACACCTGGCTACTGAGCACCTGAAAGCTGAGGGCATCTCTGAATTAAGATGTGCTGTATGTAAAAAAAAAAAAAAAACAAAAAAAACCCACCCATTAAATTATAAAGACTTTGTACAAAAAAATGTAAAACATCTCACTAATACTTTTTTATACTGATTACATGTTGAAACAATAATATTTTGGATATAAAGGCATTAAGTAATAAATATTACAATTAACCACCTACTTTTTAATTCTTTAATTAATGTGGCTTTTAGAACACTTAAAATTACATATGTGGCTAACTCTGTATTTCACAGAACAAGGCTGCTGTTGCCTAGTATTTGCCTCTGAGAGGTGTTTTTCAATCGTTTGTTGCTCAGTTCAAAAAGGAGAATATAGCCCTAGCTGCTGTAGCTCAGTTGGTTGGAGGGTCATCCTGTAACTGAAAGGTTGTGGATTCAATTTCTGGTCAGGGCACATACCCAGATTGTGAATTCAATTCCCAGTCAGGGCACATACTAAAGCTGCGGGTTCAATCCCTGGTCTGGGCACACAAGTTCCCTGGTCCTGGTGCATACGATTCTATCCAGGTACATACGATCCCCCTCCAGGTGCACATGAGAGGCAACCAATTGATGCTGCTCTCACATATCAATGTTTCTCTCTCTAAAGAAGCAATGAGAGGATGGAGGCATAATGACTTAGCAGCCGACTGTGGGCTTTGAAGGTCTCTACATTGGAGCAGGAACTCTGAAAACTGACTTTTGTCTTGGTTTTGCGGAGGGTATGAGCTTTGAGACAGGAATCTTCCATTCTCTCAGATCACACGGCACCTGAATAACATTATTTCCTTGTACACAGCATCTGCCTCACAGTTTGGCTTTTGGGGCAACACACGGCCAAACCTCTGCTTTTTTGTTTGGTAACACTATCTCACTCATCCTGCAACCACTGAGGAAGCACCAGTGAGCAGGGGTCAACATGGAAGAGACAAATCAAACAGGGCCTGCTTTCTACTTAACCAGCATTGCCCTTGAATTCTTACTTCACTCTGTGTATTAATAAATTCTCCAGTTACATATGCCAATTCAATGGGTTTCTACCCCTTGTCAGCAAAGGAATCCTAGACAATATTCAAGCTTGGTATAGAAAAATTCCAAAATTTAGGCAATTCAAGAAAGAAAATTAAAAAATCATGAATGATGCTGCCCTTGCCAGTTGGTGGAGCAGTTTTGTACACAAAAAGGTTAAGGGTTTGATTCCTAGTCAGGGCACATACCTAGGCTGCAGGTTTGATCCCCGGTCAGGGTGCACCTGGGATGCAATTGATTTATATTTCTCTCTCACATTGATGCTTCTCTCTCATACTCTCTCTCCCCATTCCTCCCTCTCTAAAGTCATTCAGAAATATTTACTTGGGTAATGATTAAAAAAATTCATGGATGATGCTCACACTAGCACCCAGAGGCAACCTCTGACCATCTCCAGTGTTACAGGGCAAGTTCCCTGGACAGCAGCCTCACGTAGATATCTGCATACAGAGGTTTATGAGGGTGAGCACTTGGGACCCTCCACACCTATGGGGATGACAGAAGCAGTAGAGGGCAGAGGAAGACATTGGACTATAAGCAGTGTTGTCATAACAAATGCCTAGCTGATCCCACAGGGTGTTCCAGCCCTGAGAAGCCCCTTCAGAGTTGTCCCTCCTTGAGGCAAAGAACTGTAGGCCCTTTATCTTGCTTCTGTTCCCACTTCCCACACACAGACTACTCATAGGATGCAGGCTACCCTTGGAAAGGGCCTTTTCATCATCCCAGGGCAATCTCTTTTGTGGGGGAAGTAGCTTCAAGCTGTTGGTACTCATACATCCTGCAGTTGGAAAATGAATTCTTCAGTCGTGAACCAAATGGGCCAGTTTGGTGCACTACAGTATCCATTACATCTGCACATCTCCTTTTAGTATATTTAATAATTCATGTTTTCCCTCTCTTTGAAAATTTTGGTTTTATTTAAGTGCTGTTTTATATATTAGCATGTTTTTAGGCTAACATTACATTCTGAGCATTTCCATCATTAAATATACTTTTATCCATTCATTTTTTGTATATTTTATTGATTATACTATTGCAGTTGTCCCCATTTTTTTCTTCCCTTTATCCCCCTCCACCCTGCACCACCCCACCCACCCTCCAGCATTTTGGCCACTCCTCAGTTCATGCCCATGGATCATATGTATATGTTCTTTGGCTTCTCCATTTCCTATACTATTCTTAACCTCTTGCTATCCATTTTGTATCTACCAATTATGCTTCTTATTCCCCATACTTTTCCCCTCATTCTCCCCCTTCCTGCACTGAGCTAATAACCCTCCATGTGATCTCCATTTCTGTGATTCTGTTCCTACTAGTTGTTTGCTTAGTTTGTTTTGTTCTTTCATGTGTGTCATATTTCTTTGTCTCGGCGCACCAGGCTGGATGAATATTTCTTTAACTCCTTTGTTGTTGGAGTTTCCTGTAGTTTGATTTTCTGGCAGTTCTGGTTGTCTTTTGTTTTAAGATTTGTTGTTATTCTTCTTTTGGTTGTGCAAGGAAGTGAAGCATTTCTACCTATACCTCCATTTTGGCCAGAATTCCCTCATTATTAAATATTTTTAAATGAATCATAAACATAGTTATAGATTCCTTTACATAGGAACCATAAAGTATTTAAACATTCTCTTACTATTGGATATTTGGAGTATTTCCAATATTCTTTAATCCTCATACATCAATTTTTGTTTGCATCTCTGCCAACAAGTTTCTTAGGAAATATTTCTGGGCATGGAATTCAAGGGTAAAAGGATATGAATTACTCTAGCACTCTAGCCAAATTGTCCTTTGAAATTTCATGTTAATGTACATTCTGATTGCCACTACATTTGTTTCATTTAGAACTGAAAATTTCTATATTTATTTCTTATTAATGGACCAAAAATAATGTCTCATTTTAGCTTTGTTTCTTTTCCCTAATTTGAGATGTTTAAAGATTTTAAAACAACTATTGATTTTTTTCTTCATGTATAAACAGTCTGACCTTTTTTTATTGTTGTAAGTTTTTCCATTTGAGTATTAAATCATCATCTTATTGATTTATTAAAGCTCTTTATATGTTAAACATACCAAAACTGTGTCTTCCACATTTGTTAAAAAATAACCTTCCATTAGTCAGTTGCATTTTTATTCAATTAGGGTAGTTCCAAAAACATTATATAGTAAAAAATGATTCTTCCATGTTCTAAAAAGAACTTCCCAGCAATACCACTGTTGGGGTTATACCCTAAGGATCCTGAAATACCAATTCAAAAGAACCTATGCACCCTAATGTTCATAGCAGCACAATTTACAATAGCCAAGTGCTGGAAGCAACCTAAGTGTCCATTAGTAAACAAGTGGATCAAAAAACTGTGGTACATTTACACAATGGAATACTGTGCAAAAAAAAGAAAGAAGAGCTCCTACTCTTCATGACAGCATGAATGGAACTGGAGAGCACTATGCTAAGTGAAATAAGCCAGGCAGTGAAAGAGAAATACCATATGATCTCATCTATAAATGGAACCTAATCAACAAAACAAACAAGCAAGCAAAATATAACCAGAAACAATGAAATAAAGAACAAACTAACAGTTACTAGAGAAGAGGGGGAGAGGGAAAATAGGGGAAGGCCCATCAAGGAACATGTATAAAGAACACATGGACAAAGTCAAAGGGGTTAGGTTCGAAGGTGGGAGGCAGGGATGGGCGGCATAGGAGGGATGTTATGGGGTGAAAATGGAGACAATGGTACTTGAACAACTATTAAATAAAAGAAAACTAAATAAAAATGAAATGAATAGTAAAATAAAAGAATAGAAAGAACTTCCCCATCCTGAAACATGATAAAAATCAGTCTTCACTCATATTCCTTATCTAGCACTCAACATTCTTCCTCAGGAAAGCTTCCTCTGACTAGGCTGAATCTCCCACTGATATATATTTATAGTACCACATACTCAATGCTCGTACATCTATCACAACTGCAGGTTTACATATACGTGAGTGTTTACAAACTTTAAAAGGATTGGGAACACATCTGTATATTGTTCACTTTTGTATTCTCAGAATTGGGCACAGAAGTAGCACTGGAGATTTATTATCTAATTTTTTACATTTTCAGTATTTACATTTACCTCTTCATTCACCTGAGAATGTTTTTTGTAGACTTGAAGAAAACATTTTTATCTTTATTATGTACCAACACTTACAGAATAAACATTCTTTTTCCCACTGTGGTGACAGAAATTTTGTTACATATTTGTGTAGATATATCTTTACACACATACACTCACATACTCTAAACTCTTACTATATTGGGACCTATGGTAGGACTCTGTTGTATTTCATCATTCTGTCATAGAGTTGGTCAACATGGCATTGTTTTGATTATTATAGAGTTACCTTATGTTTTAATATCTGGCTGGACAAGTAACTTCTCATTTTAGAGATCTGTCCCTAAATGTGTTGGTTAAAATTACTTGATCAAGCCCTCTGCCAATAAGACAATTTAAGATGAATCATTAAATTAAAATGGTAGGGAGCTTCTCTATTCTCTTTTTGTAACTTTGTGAAAAATTTTTGGCCAAATGTTCATTCACTTACTTGAGCAATCCAGCCCGATGGAAAACATAGAGATCCTGTTCCACAGTGCAGCTGTTGAAGGGGACTATCTTCACAAAGTTCTGGATAAGGGCAAACTCTGGGGTGAGATGTGGCAGAGAAATGAGGCAGAAGTTCTTGTCCTAACATTATTGCAGAAGGACACAAGGAAAGACAATCAGAAATCATTTATCACCAAACAAATTTCTGATGTAAAACACTAAAGAAAATAACAAGATATGTAAAGGAGAGCATATTCAAGTTAAACTTTCCTATAATTTTGAAAGTAATCATATAAAACTCAGGGGGATAAGGAACAGCAAGAGTATGAAGAGAGTCTGACTGAATCCTGAATAAATTAATATTGTGAAAAATGAAACCCATTTGGCATAGCTCTTTTGCAGAAGTGTATTTTTAGTCTAAGGACATTTGCCCTTTCAAATTCACTTGCAATCAGGAGTAAATGTGGCAGTTTGGTGTCACACCAAAGGCCCTATGCTTACTAAGTGGTATTGTACCAACTGTGATCCTCTTCTCTTGAAATGAGAAGGTGGTGCTCTAGGACTTTTCGGCCCTAAAATCCTATGACTATACATGAACAGATGTCTGTGTATTTTATCATGACATGATCTCATTTCGGCATACATATCTAAGAACATGTTTAACCTCGTTAGTGGGTTTAGTTAGCAGGTACAGAATGATCTATATGTCCTGACAAATGTCACTTACCTTCTAGATCTTCACTGTCTAATATGGTAGCCAGCAGCCACATCTGGCCACGGAACATTTGGAATGTTGCTAGTATGACTAGAGAATTGAATTTTTAATACTATTTTATTTTAATTAATTTTAAGTTTAAAAACTGATACTGAATTCAGTTATTGGAAAGGTTTTATGTAAGTTTAGAACAACTTGAGAATATGAAGCTACTGATTCAACTGTAAATTTTATAAAATCTAAATGGAGGAGGTTCTAAGATGGCTGCAGAGTAGCTGGAAGTTCAGTCCACTTGATCCAAGATCCAGATTGATTGTGCAGCTAAATGGTAGAGTATTTGTCTTGAAAAACCAGTTGAAGTGTAGCTGATCTGGAAATTTATAAACAGAAGCATGGAGAAAAATGGGAAGAGACAAGGGCAGGGTGAGACCCCCATACATCCCATACACAGGCACTAGGATTGGGAAGCCAGGGGATAGGGCAGCAGGGGTACTCCCCTCTCTTAGGAGTACAGAGCCTCCGCCCCATGCAGGGATCCCCAACCAGAGTAACAAGAGACAGGAAGGAGACCTTTTGTAGCATCTGGTGGTGGGAAGCGGTGGGGATTCGATCCACCTAGAAGACTTGTAGCACAGCATCTCAGGAAAGGAGTCAGTCCATTGTCAAAACACTAGCTTGTGAAGTTTGCCCTCATCTGTGACTGCTGGAAGAGCCATGCTATTTTGGGGGCTGGAGGAGGGACTTGCTCAGTATACCCAGCAGTGAACTTCAAGGGCCATCTGTTCTTCAGAAGAGCTTTGGACAGAGAGGCACTCAGAGTCAGGGCATTGAGGCTTAAGGAAGATGACTGTGCTTCCTCACAATGAGCACTCTGCAGTGACCCTTTCCCCACCTGCTAAGTTGCTGAGTCTGCCCAGAGGCAAAGGGATAAGGTGGTGCTGGGTTGGAAATTTGACCTCACTGTGCTCTGCCAGTGCAAGGGAGGAGAACATTTAGCTGGAGACTGTTTGGAGCTGGAAATTTCAGTCCTGCCCAGGAGTCCCCGACTAAGAGGAGAGATTTTTGCGTGTGTGATCTCCTGCCTGGGTGTGAGGTGAGGTGAGAGCAAGATATGCAGAGCTGGATTTTTGCAGCTGCATCTCCCAGTCAGGTTTCTATTGGGAAGTCAGATGGGCAGGGGCTGTGTACTGCAGCTGCAATATGTGGAGGCAGAGCATAGCTCTCCCCAGGAAGTTCAACCCAAGCAGCAAAGGGAAGGAGAGAAGGTGCCCACTGACAGTCTGGTCTGACCTTGCATAGAGGCACCCCAGCTAGCAAGACAGGATATTGGGACAAACAGACCTGGGTAGTATAGCACTCAAATAATTGGTCAGGGACAGGATAGTTCCAAGAACTAGAGCTAGTAAGCGATGGGAATGAATCCCAGGAACTAGAGAGTTCCGGGATAGAAATACCCAATAAGAGAAGGAAGAAAGCAGAGCAGGTCAAAGTAACCAATTACAAGACTACTTTCCCATACTGTGCAGTTTTTTTCTTCAAAAACCCTACACAGAACCACCTGGGTAGGAACTGGTCTGAGCTGGGAACTGGCCTCAGTGGGACTGCTTCCCCTCCCCCTTGCTCCAGAGGGACCCTGCTTTCAATAAACCCCTTGCTTTGCTATTAGTTTGCTGTCTTCTCATGGTTCCTCAGTGGCTCTGATCTCACAACCACCCTGCCTCCTACAGAGAGAGGGCACAGCTCCTGAGTCTGTTTGACCCCTGCCAGGTCCTGGCTACCTGCACTGAGCCCATTTCTGTGCGGAGAGGGAAGCAACTCAGAGCAGGGGACTTTCAAAGTGGGAGAGCTGAGGCAGACCCAACCTCAAGGCTCTGGAGGCCCCACCCACTGGTTCACTAGAAACTCCGCTCTGAAAAACTTGATGAGGGCCCAGTGTATATCTGACATTGGCATGCAACAGAAAACCTCTTGGATTCCCTAGACTGGCAAACAAATTGCCAACTTACATAAAAATCAGAGCAAGACCCAAGAAGCTCTACATTCAGCACATCAGAAACTGACTACACCAAGCACAACAAACTGCAGAGGCAAAGCATACTTTTTTCCTTTTGAATGTTTTCTATATTTTCGCTTTTCTACTTTATTTTTTGTTCTTTTCTTTCCTTTTGGGGGGGGGTCCATATCCCTTATTTTCTTTCCTATTCTCACTCTATTTTTCTCTTTTCTGTTTTCATTCTTTTTTCCCCTGTTTTTCCTTTCCTACTCTTTATTTTAGTTCAGCTTTTTTCTATATATTTATTATTTACTATAATTTTTCTTCTTCTTTCCTTTTATATTATTCTCATTTCTGTTTCTTTTATCCTTCTCCAATTCTTTTTGTTTCTTGTCTTTTATTGTTCTTTTTTCTATTTTCTTAATTTTTTGTTTTTCTTATGGGTGCTTTTTTGCCTTTTTCTTTCCCAATTGTTAGTGGTGTTGTTGTTTGTTTCCCTTTTTGTTGAGCTGTTTGAATTTTGTTTTGTTTTGTTTGCTCAGCACCTGTACAAAATTTGCATCCCATGGTTAGGGCTGAGCCCCATAATCAACCAGCCCAAAGGCTGAGCTATCCCACAAACAGGACAACATCAATCAAGAACCAGTTACAGGAAATTAGAGATTACAGTGAAGTCAGAGTATTTGTCTTGCACCTCCTCTTCCCAGAACCAAACTGAAAATAAAACTAAACAGGGGAATATACACTTGAAATAAGCAACTGAACATTACCTAAAGAGGAGACACTTAATTAAGGATGGGCAGAAACCACCTCAAGATCAGTAGAAAGGTCAGGGATATGGCGGGGGCTGGCACTGTTTTCATGGGCATCAGGCCAAGGCTGTGCCAGGGCTGTGGGAGCTTCTGCCTGAGAGGAGTGAAACCTGGACCCCACAATAGGCTCCCTGGCACAAAGCACCAGTGCCAGGATAACCTGCCCATGCAGCATCCTGTAGTGAAAGGCTATAAGGTTTTTGCCTGCCAGAGAGAAACACAGCCTGCTGAAGACAAAGGCACTTTTTCTCTCTTTTTTTCAAGGAGCAACAGAAAGGATTCACATGTGCAGCCACTCACTTTGGGCTCAGGCAAAGGGAGGGCAGTGTGGTCTGGAGTTGTGCGAGGAAAGCCTGGAGTGGAGGTTTGGGGGAAAGGCGTGGGAAAGTGGCTGCTGGGTTTCCAGTGCTAGGACACACCTCCATACCACAAAGCCATTTTTCTTGAGAAGAGTAGCCCCTTCCAGAGGAAAAAAATTACCCCACCTATGGGAAACTGCTCACCCCACCCTCTGGATCCTCTCAGCCCCATCTTCTGGAATCTCACTCACTCACCCTCTGGAATCCTGCTTGTCACCCCATTCCCACATCCTTTTTTTAAATTTATTTTTTAATATTTTTCTTTCTTAGTTTTTCCCACATGAATTTTATCCCCTGCTGAGGAGACAGCAACATAGGCAGATTCAGGTGTGTCAGAGACTGGCTTTAGGATATGGCCATTCCATATACTTTCTTGGAAACCAGACTGGTGCTTCCCCTCATGGGATAGCTTAGGAACACCTTCTTCATTTGCGGCAGACCCACACTCTGGGGTCTGGAGCCTCTACCCACTTTCCTATTAGGGGCTTCACTCTGTTTATTTTAAGGAAATAATCCAGGATACTCAGATGGGTGTTGTGGAGATGAGAGAACACACCCACCATCTTCCCTGAAGTCTGAATGGCACATCCCACAGGAGATCCAGGGGACCCATTCTTCCGATTCCAGCAGAAGCCCTCTTAGAAACAGACCAGGTAGTGGCAAGACTAAGAGTAATGGCAGCACTATAGGCAGAGGAAGGAGAAGATATATCTTGTGGTGCCTTTGGTCGTTAGTTGACCCACCCTTGGGCCCTGTGCTACTAAGCCAGCCTTACAGCAGCAAGGCCCATTGCAAATACAGCCAAGCCTGAAAAAGAAAACCACAAACTGTGGATCACTTGTAACTTCAAACAGGCTGCCTATAGCTAAACAGACAGCATTTGACATTGGCTTACATTAGCTTCAGAAAATATCAAGTCATATCCAGAGGAAGAATACAGAAGGCAAGCACTAAACTTCACTGAGATAAACTCCACTTCAATCTTTTTCATTTTTCTCTTTCACATACCTTTTTTTTCATTTTAATATTTTTCTTATTTTTCAATATTTTGTTCTTTTAAATCTTGTATGTCACTCTTCCCTTTTCTTACTTCATTTTGCCTTCCTTCTCTTATTTTTTTAAATTTTATTTTCCCTTCCTTTGTTCTTTTGTCATGACTACCTGTTTCTATTCCTTACTTGTACTGTTTTTCCTCCTGCTATCCTCTCATGACCATTTTTCTTTCCTTTATTCTTCTCATACCCTTTTTATTATAACATTGT